GTGTGTTTATAGTGATTCCGTGTCCTTCTTGTGTTTGTTTAAGGATCCTGTCCTTGTGAATTGTAAGTTTTAATTGTGTAATAAATAATCAGAATTGGATTATTTATGTAGTTATATAATGGCTCCGATATTTACTATTTTATTATAATGAGCGCGAGAAGAGAATGTTTGTCATCCACGCGCTGAGCATCAGCGTAGCGCTTAACTCGCGTTCGCTATAGCGTTGTCGGCGCTTGCCGTTGCTATAGTTACGGTCAACATCTTATTTTGAGAAAATTTGACAGCCGGACGTTACACCCACTTTATTAATTTAATACTAATTTATTCTTAAATATTAAATATTTGTTACATTTGGTTCATTTGAATGACAAATCAGCATAGATAATATTTCAGTTATAATAAAACATCTTTAGAATATTTTTAAAATGTTTAAGTCATTTATAAATTAATAAATTTCGATCTTGTTAAAATACTATTTAGAATATTATAAATAATTAATTGCGACGATAAATACTTCTTTTATGTAATCTTTATTTTTCCATTATTATTATAAGTAATTTTCCATTATATCCTCATTAATCCATTTGCGATACAAATACTTGTAAATACAACAAGTATTTGACTATTCAAAGACATTCGTCGAATCTTTTCTTATTCAATATATATATAATTAATTAAATCGCTATCAAACAGACATATTATTGGCCGTATTCTGAGATAATTTTTCCTTTGGTAAAAATTTGTCAGAAACTTAGTTTTTTTTTAAATATCTATTAGTAATAAGGCATAAAATTTAAAAAACAAGAAGGAAAAAGGGCTACGAACTAAAAAATTATTCAATTACATAGTTTAATGTAGAATATAAGTAACATAAGTAACATAAGTATTAGAACATAAGTAAAAAAAAGCAATTATATCTTTTAGTTAAGATTTAATACAATGTGCTAACAATAAACAAACATACGTTTCGATCGGATATCGAATTATTATTAATGTTAAAAACATGTAGAATATTATAAACGGTAAAAACAGAATATATATAATATAAATTTATACTTCGCTGTCTCTAACAAACGATGGTAACATTAACCGATTGAAATTCTGTTCGCAGTTATATTATAGCTTGGAGACAGTCGTCGCATGATAATAGATAATGTCGTTAATCATTAAATTTGAAATATGTTCTTTAATATAATGTAAAATTGAAGAATACACGCACTCAATTAAATTTTGTCCTGTGGGCAAGATTTAATGTACAAGAATTATGTCAGTGAGAAATTATTGATACAATTAAAAACAAAGAAATTGATAAGAATAACAAAAGAGTCAATATGATACAGTCAGTGAAAAATTATTGACATAATTAAAAACAAAAAAATTGATAAGAATAGCAAAAGAAATAATATAATACAGTAAGATGATACAATGCAAACATTAATTGCAAAAGTTAATTTTGTATAATGTATATCTATTATATAAAATTGTAATTTAGTAACAACTAAAATTAATAGGAATAAATACCTTTAATGTAAAAACGAAGTTAGTTCAGTAAAAAATGAAATATGTTTCTGTCGCAGAAAGTTGGTTAGAATTAGAGACAATACGATAAGAGTAAAAACGATGTATTGTCTCTTCGGTGTTGAGACATTGTAAAATTAAAAATTAAAATAAAGAGAAGGAAGGAAAAGATTATGTTGGAAAGTAATGGGAAGTGGGAACTAAGAGGAGATAGAAATGTAAATAAAGGCGAAGGGGAAGAGGATGTACAACCTGTAGCTACCATGATTCTGTATCATTTTGTTGCTTTAAGCCCTGTTTTTACGCCTTTTTTATATGAATCATTTTAGAGATCAATCTCTTATTGTAGGAAGATTAACTGTCTAAAATCTTAACTTCATTCCATCCGAAATTTTGAATAAAATTGATACGGTGATTGGATATGACAGAAGGAGAACCAATTTTAATGTTGATATCTGAAATAAGTTCACGTATTCTCGTACCCAATTTTTTTTTTGTTTGGTGTGTCAATTGTTGGCTAACATAGCTGACCTCATAATCATTACATGAAATCTTATATACTACATTTGGATGAGAAAGCAATTCTTATTTATCTTTTCCTCTCTTTATAAAACTTTTTAAAGTGTTGGTAATGAAAAATGTTAATTTACAATAAAACATGTTGGATATAGGTAAAAAACTTTCGAAGGTAGACTTGACATAAGGAACTGTAAAAAATTTTTCATTGATTTGTAGATTATGTATGGTATGTGGATTATGTTTATTTTGTATGTGAAATTTTAAAAGCTTATCCATTGTACAATAGAAAAAATAAGAGAGAGAGGATAACTATTATTTAAAAAAATGTAAATTGCATCTGTTAGATTCTAATGATGA